CCTACAAGTCATCCGCTTCATTTACTTCCCCATTAGTAGGTGACATTTATTTTTCAGCCTTGACACAACATTCCTTATTCAGTTTACTCTTCAAAAAACAGAACAAAACAAAACAAAACACTGTTGGGAACATAGTAAAATAAAAATGGAAGTTGTCTCTTGAAAATATAAAACAATGGTGATGTGGGAGGCTAGGGGTGAATCTATATTTCTATGGTAAACAAAACAAATAAACAAAAAAGCCTGTGTGTACTTAGAAAATGTTGAAAGGATCCCCAGTTTTTTTCTGAACTTGAACATATGTATAAGAACTGAGAGCACAGCCCTGCCTCAGGGTGTGGTAGACATATCCAGGACCCAGAAGGCTGGGATCAGAGCTGAGGGAAAAGGAGTGCTGTCCTCTCTGGGTAGGAAAGAGCAGATAAGGAGGGTGTGAGAATGACTTGGCCAGGCAGGGCCAGTCCTGCCTTTGCTCAGGGACATGTGTGGAATTTTAATCCCTACTGAGCAACCGAAGTTCAAACAGTGTTTATTACATAACTGGTGAATGTTTTTTTAAAGTGTTTTTGGTGCTTGGGGAAAGGAATCTCTGCTTGTTTTTGAGGAAATTTGGTTTTCTATTGTGTGTGTGAATTGCAAATCTTTGTGGGCCTGACTGTGTGTCTCATTCTTGGAGGCCACAATAGTGCCTAAGGAACTATCTGTTGCTTTGTGAAGTGGTTCAGTAAATGAGGGGGAGTTTCCTATTGGTCCATATGAATTTAATTAGGCTGGATGAATGGAAAACTCACCTTCGATTACTCCCTCCAGTCACCTTTTGAAAGAGTGAGCAGGTTTCCAGTTAGTTACCCATTTCATTCTTTCAATAAATCCACTTATGTTAAATTATTCATTAAGTATTACTGTGTTAGACATTGTAAAAGTAAAGTTGAAAAGCAACACAGTCCCTGTCCTCAAAGAAATTTACAATCTACTGGTCTAGGGGTTGGAGTGGCAATATGATATACATTTAAGGAAGTATAGTATAAAATTAATTATTTATCCAGCTTAGAAATAAATGCAGCACTCAGTGGTAAATAAATACATTGTAGGAACATTGTAATGTAAATGCATTATAGGAAGCTATATCTTCATTAGATGGGTGAGTTTTTTTTTCTTTTTAGACTTAACCAACTCTAATGTATGCATGTCACCAAAAGCTAACATTCAAAAGGGAATTTTTTTTTTTTTTTTACTTCTAACATACAATTCAACCATTCAGTTTTTCTCTCTTGGGAAGTGCCATTTTTCATGATGCTTTATAAGAAGCTAGCTCAGTGGTTACCAAAACATGGCACAAAAAAATCTACATACATTGGTAGAATAGATAGTGGGTTAAGCCAGTATAAAGTGAAGTGGGAGACAGGTCCTGCCTTCAAGGAGTTTATCATGCTAAGGGGAGATGAGAAAAGTAATTGAATAACTGAAATACTTGGCAGAAAATCATAAGACCATAAGAAAAATATAGACAATTTGCTTTGGGGATTTAGAACAAAAATAGAAAATAGAAAGTTGACACCTTAAATAAGTATGGAAATAGAGAGCACCAGCTAGGTGGTGCAGTGGATAGAATGCTGGGCTGGGAATCAGGAAGATTCTTCTTCATGAGTTCAAATCTAGCTTCAGAAACTTACTAGCTATGTCACCCTGGGCAAGTCACTTACCCATGTTTGCCTCAGTTTCCTCATCTATAAAATGAGTTGGAGAAGGAAATGGCAAACCACTCCAGTGCTTTTGCCAAGAAAACCCCAAATGGGATCATGAAGAGTCGGACACGACTGAAAAATGACTGAACAAGAACAAAAAACTTTAATAAGACTGTTGTGAGGAACATGTTTTCTGCAGACCCAAAAGACTATTTGTTATTGTTATGATTTCAAGAAGATCTAGAAAGATCCTTAGATTCAGTTCCATCTGGATTCTTGTTTCACTTAACTACAATGTCAGACCAATTTTGAGAGAAAGACACCCTTAGGTCATGATTGTAGAAGCTTTCTGTTTCTCTTTGTAAAGCTCATCTCCAGAGGATCACGGGAAATTATGCAAATGACTCTATCCCAAGCAGTCACCCCATACCACTCTGAAAAGCCTTTTGGCAGCCCTAGACTTCATCATTTGTGCAATTTACATACATTTCTTTCCTTGCCTAAGACCTTAAGAGGAATGGGGTCGGGATGGGGGAAAGAAAAGGTACAGAGAAGAAGGAAATACAAAATTGCTTTAAGAATGGCAGCAATTCGGTTTCCCTGGACCACTTCTCTTCAGTAGATGTACTCAAGACTTGATGCAAAGGGAAGGATAAGTGGCCTCAGACTGAATACCAAGTTGCAATTTAATCACAAAGTTCTGCTACGTTTATAACTGGTAGGTCCCGAGTTTAGGCAGTTTATGAATCCTGACAAACCTCTGAGATTTAATTACCTTTGATAAGCAGCCTGGGACTACATGCTGTTATTTGTAATATATGAAATGATTACAGAGAGTTTAGGGAGAGAGAAACCGAAGCAAAATGAGAGACTTAGGAAAAAAAAAACAACTTGGATTCTCTAGAACTGGAAGACCAAAACTAAAATGTAGAAAACATGAAAGAGAAGTCAACTTACATCTGGGACACAACTAAAGGAAATGTACTAGCCCAGGGGTGGGGAACCTGCGGCCTTGAGGACACATGTGGCCTTCTAGGTCCTCAAGTGTGGCCCTTTGAAGGAATCGAACTTCACAGAAGTTTTGTACTAGGCCATGTGTTCCTAGACCTAGACCATGGTAATATGCACAGTATAAACAGGGATTAAATGAGAAAATATTGATATGGAAATTATTGTCCTCTCTTAAATATTCAATTTGAAATTCTAAGATTGAGAGATATGAAGGATCTTAGAAATCAGGTTGAACCCCATCATTTTTCAGATGGGGAAACTGAGGTTTAGGACAGTTAAATTACTTGCTTGAGGTCACAAAGGTGGCATTTCACAGAAACACAGAATCTCACACCTGAAAATAACCTCAGAAGCCAAGTCATATCTGAATACTTCAGTCCTTTTTCAGTTGTGTCTTCATGACCCCATTTGAGGGTTCAGAGATACTGGAGTAGTTTGCCATTTCCTTCTCCAGCTCATTTTACAGATGAGGAAACTGAGGCAAACAGGGTTAAATGACTTGCCCAGGGTCACACAGCTAGTAAGTGTCTGAGGCCAGATTTGAACTCATGAAGAAGATTCTTCCTGACCCCAAGCCTGGCACTCCATACATTGCACCACTTATTATTTTCCCCCATTTTACAGGTTGAGAAACATGGACTCAGAGAGATAAATGATGAGTATAGTCACATAGCTTGTGTCTGAAACAAATCCAGAACCTGTATTTTCTGTTTTCGAACCCACCACTCTTTCAATGACACCAGACTGCTGCTGTATTATTTGCCTTTAGTCTTGCTAAATGCCTCACTTGTCTAAACCCCTTATTCTGGTTTTCCCTTTAGTACCTCATGAGTTAGGTACAGAGAGCATTGGGTTAGACTCTCATCCTACATGTGTCCTACTGGTATTCTAGCCTTCTGTTCCTTCCCATGAAGGAGCAAGAAAGCAAAGGGAAGGTGGTGATTAGTAGGAAGTAGATAGAGTAGATTCTAGAAATGAAATACGTAACTTTTACCTGCTTCAGGTCCATTGCGTGGGACCACTCAATTTTCTTCACTCACCCTTCAGACTTGCTGGATGCTTTGTGATTGTTTTGACAAGTTTTTCCTTACCAATGAGGAGCTGAATTTGTGTTCTTTCCTGCTTTGCAAGGAAGGAACCTGAAAGAGTAGAGGAATGATTAAGAGTGAGTCAATGGCACTGGGTTCCCTAGCAAGCCTAGGCTCATCAAACTTTAGGTGTCTTCAGAAAGGCTCTCATGGTATATTCCTTTCCCTGAAGATTACCTTGGATTGTCATTTTTAGGAGCCTAGATATGTTGAGGTTTAGGGGCTTAGGGGTGCTGAAACCCCAAAATCATGACATGCGGGTCCTGCCTGAAAGAATTTAACCCAAACCTTCTTTCAGCCAAAGACAAGGTTTACTAAAACATCTGCCATATTGGCCAGACTCTTTAAGGAATCTGAACATTACTGAGCTATTGGCTAGATTATAAGAATCTGAGCACCTTAATGGAGACAAGATGGACCTTATATACAGAAAGACTGTAGGAGAGATCTAGGAGTGGCCAAGTAGTCAAGTAGTCTGGGGGCGGGGGCAGTAATAGAATGCCAGGGACCTGGACCAAGTGGCCAAGGGAGAATGGAGCCCAGCTAGGATTAAGGGTGGGAAGTGGCCAGGGGCCATAGAGAGGTATGGAGGGCTGGGCTAGGTTAAGGGTAACAGAGAATTGGGAGATTGTAGTCACAATGAAAGGCCAGTTGATGAGATTATAGCCTCAAGTGAATGCCAGAGAGTTGGCCATGTGGGAAAGTCCAGGGTTTTTCCTTTCTGGCATCCAGATCCCAACCCCATCAGATATATCTTTTAGAGAATCAGCATGGTATAGTGAATCAGGCACTAGACTTGGAGTAAGAAAGACCTAGGATCAAATCCTGCCTCAGATAGCTGTGTGGCCCTGGGTATATATCACTTAATATCTCTGTGGCTCAGTGTCTTCATCTGTTTAAAAAAAAAAAGAAAGAAAGAAAAGAAAAGAAGAACATTTGAACTGGATGGCTTTCTAAGATCCCTTTCAACTCTAAATCTACTTTTCTTTTTTCAAATGTTAATTTTCCTTAGCTTTAAAAAAAA